AGTCTTTTTCATTGTATGTTTACAGAATCTACGCTGCAAACTCTTTGCAACAGTGACTATCTATTTTGCCACTGTAACTATGAACATTATGAAAGAATAAAGCAGAAACTATCTGTGATCTGGAATGAACGAGAGGGAGTGGTCAAAACTCTGAGCTGATCTTCTGTAGAGACGTTTTAGACGTTGTACAACATAAGGCAGCATACAATGGGAGTGATGTGCACAGCAATAGGGATTACCAACATCAATGACATTACAGATTTTCAAGGTGTTTGGTACTACATATGCAGTAGGCCTGCCACATTTGCTAGGGTTAGGACCTCCATGAAAGTGGGAAAAATGCAAATAAAAAAAGCACTATGCTTTTACCTGAGAGGACACCTTTCTAGGGATCTCTAGCTCCTCCAGCATAACTCTAAGGTCATTTTCCAGCAGAGTTATGCTGGAAGATCTAGAGATCCCTAGAGAGAACATATTAATCAAATATGCGAATAACCGAATGTGCAAAAGTCAAAACCGCAAATGTGGAGGGCCGACTGTATTGATGGCACCATATACATAAGCTTTCAATGTCTCATTCTGTTGAATTTGCACTTTCTTTCCGGATCCACATCACCATCTCCCACTGGAGTGAAGGGAAAATGGAGACTAGTTATTGCAAAAAGCAGCACAATCACCAAGAAGCAGGTTAGTAACACAGAAGTCAACACACTATTATTAAATTTAGAACGAAAGACTGGGAAATCATAGGCTAAATAAACAAAAAAGGAAACAGAAGGCAATCCAAGCTGTTGTGCTTATCCTCACAGTTTCATATACTGAATGTTCAGCAAAATAGTTTTATCATAATTCTGCAGTGGCTGGAAGGAATGCCTTAAAAAAAAACCCACCCTGCTCTTTGCCTACAAGGCCCTTTGCAACTTAGCTTAGCAATAGTTTGACTTGTACTGTAGGTGCGATTAACTGGTGCATGATACATGCAGAAAGAACTTTAGCATGGCTCTCTAGACCTAGCAGTTATTTGCTATTTGATGTGACCAGAATCATTCCATATGTACATTGGCTTGTCCAATTTCCAGAAGAGAGGGTGGCTCTATTTGCATGAAACTAACCCCAATCAGTAACCAAGCAAGAGACAATGTTAAGAAAGTGAGGTGGTATGTGCACTCATATCCAAGCTGTTGTACAGGGATTATGGAATATTCGAGAACAACCTATATATGCAGTACAGCCTCAAAGAGGAATGGGAAAATGTAAACTGATTTAATTTCTAATAACTTTCTTTTGGGACATACACAGAAGATCAGTGTGAAAACATCTACACAAAAGGTTTATTCCCAGGAAAGCAACCCTACTATTTGGCAGAGGGGGCAACTGCTTCAGGTGGCCAATGTTGTTGAAGTGGTGCCAGCTCCATGCCTTGACGTTGCTCCTGAATCCCAGTTCATGTTCCTCTTTTGGAGGGCAGACTTCTATCCTCATGCTGTATGTCATCTGGTGCGTGTGTGTGTGTGGGGGGGGGGGGGGAGTGGTGGCAGAACCAGAAGGACATGCTATGCCTCCAAACTTTGCAGCAGCATGCATACCTCCTGCTCCAGGTTTTCTTCCTGGAAGAAAGCCTAAAGTCTGAGCAGCTAGTAAGTGTGTATGTGCATCCTTCCTGCTTTTTGGTCCTGAACCTTCTCCCTATAGAGGAAGCCCAGGGCCAGACAACTGGCAAAGGGGCAGCAGGACCGAACCAGATTTCACACCTCTTTTGGGTGTCACCCAGTGTGGTCTGCCCCACCATGACAGCACTATTTGTGTGGGTGCCAGACAGCTTGTCCTACATTTTCTATCCTAACTTTCTGCCATTAGAAGCCCTTCACATTTCTAACATTCAAGCAAGGTTCATCTAGCATTATCTTGTCCTCTGTCTTGGGGCCTCATTGCATGACAAAAGAAGGTGACATGCAGCAAGAGAGAAGCAGCTGTCTCCTTACCTCTTCACATACTGTTGTTGCACTTCTGTTTTTCTTCCAGAAGAAGATGTTTATAAAAGCGTGCATTTTGCCAAATTGATTTTTCCAGTGTGATGCTTTTACGACCTTCTCCCTTGGGAAGAAAATGGAAGTGCTTCAACAGCATGTGGACATGTAAGGCTCTTGCTGCATGTCAGCTTTCTTTTGTCATGTGATATGGCTCTTATTAATTAGCAAAATGTCTTGGGCTGGCCTTTCCTTAGCAGTAGCCAGCACCAACTTCTTATGCTGTTACTGGTTTGGCTGAAAGTTGAAAATCTTTCAATCAAACTCCTATGTGGGGTACTAGGGAGGACAACTGGTCAGTTTCCCTTCACTTATGAGTATCTTTGTTCCTTACCAAGTACACCTATAATTCTACTTCCCTTTGTCGATCATGGTATCCTTCTGAGTTGCCTCTCCAGGATGAGGCTTGGAGGTACTGTTCTACAGTGACTCAATCTTTCTTGTGGGCCATTCACAGGTGGCGCTGGGGGACACCTGTTTGACTCCTTGCCCATTGGCCTGTGAGGTCCCTCATGGCTCAGTCTTGTCCCCTATGCTTGTTAAGATCTACATGAAACTGCTGGGAGAGGTCATCTGGAGTTTTGGAGTAAGGTGTCACCTGTATGCTGATGATACCCAGCTCTATCACTCCATTCCACCTAATTCCAAGGAAGCTGTTTCTGTCCTAAACACTGTAATGGACTGGATGAAGGGCAAACAAATTGAAGCTTAATCCAGACCAGACAGAGGTGTTCCTGGTCAATCGAAAAACAGATCTGGGAATAGAGTTTCAGCCTGTGTTAGTTGGGGTTACACTCCCCCTAAAAACTCAGGTTCATAGTTTGGGGGTACTTCTGGATTCAGTGCTGAGCCTGGAAGCTCAGGTATCAGTGCTGACCAGGAGTGCCTTTGCACAGCTAAAACTTGTGCACCAACTGCACCCGTTCCTGGAGAAGTCAGATCTGGTCACGGTAGTACATACCTCAGTTACATCCTGTTTGGATTACTGTAATGTGCTTTATATGGGCCTGCCTTTGAAAAGTGCTCAGAAGCTTCAGTTAGTCCAAAGAGCTGCAGCCAGGCTGTTAACTGGAGCTAGTTACAGCGAGCATACAACTCCCTTGTTGCAACAGCTCCATTGGCTGCCAGCCCGTTTACGGGCACAATTCAAAGTGCTGGTTTTGACCTATAAAGCCCTATACAGCTTGGGTCAAGGCTATTTGAGGGCCATATCTCCATGTATGACCCCCCCCCCAGCATACTGAGGTCATCAGGAGAAGTCCTTCTCTCTGTCTCACTACCCTCTCAAGTGTGTTTGATGGGAACAAGAAAAAGGGCCTTCTCAGTGGCTGCTCCCAAGCTCTGGAACTCCCTCCCTACAGAGGTCAGGATGGCTCCATCCGGGCTGTCCTTCTGGCAGCAGGTAAAGATGCTTTTATGCTGCCAGGGCTTTGTATAACATAGATGCTGTTTTTGTTTTAAAGAGTTTTAAACTTTAAAATTTTAATAATGTAATGTTTTTAATTGTTTTAATTGTTTAATTGTTGTTTAAACTTTGTATTTTTAATGTTCTCTACAGTTTTAACCTGGAATGTTTTAGATTTGTTAGCCACCTTTAGTCCCTGTATTAAGAGAAGTCGGGATATAAATAAACATAAACATAATAATAATACGAAACACTAGTCCTTTGAACATGGCTGCCTCATGAGATGACATAGAGGTTGAAGGAGTATAGGCCTAAATATCCTAAAGCCACCACATTCTATCTGATCTATGAAGCTAAATAGAGTCATCCCTGGTCAGTACCTGGATCAGAGACCATCAACAAATATCAGGTGCTGTAGGCAATATTTCAGGAGAAAGAAATGGCAAAATCATCTCTGAGTATTCTTTGTCTAAGAAAACCCTATGAAATTCATGAGGCTTCCATAAGTCAACAGGCAACTGAAAAGCACAAGCACAAACACACTTTTTGGCACCAAGGGCCTTCAAGTCTATCCTCATTCTGACATTCTGAAATATCATTAAGATTTTGTTATTTGCAATTACCTACAGTTGAACACCAAAATATAATTTTTATTTTTTTAAAAATGGATTATTAATTACTATTAATATTTGTCCTTATGTGTTCTTCATTGTAAAACAAGACATTTTGCTTCATAATTTTGTATAAGTTAAAAACAAAACACAATAAAAAATCCCAACAAAACCCAATGATTTTGTCATCTGCCTTGTAATCATCTAATATGAAATCTCTAATAACGTAGTAACAGAAATATATAATACAATGTTTGCCAAACTAGAATGAAGGGATTCTAAAATAATACTAACTTGGCCACATTTAACACATTTAACTAGCTAGGCACAATTTTTCTGACATGTTGTTTACTTCTTCTGGGAATTAGATGCCCAGATGGAATGAGAAGCCAGTCCAAGAGGATGGCAAGATAAATGTGTTCATGTCTGCATGCAACTGGTGTGGAGCTATTCACAGAGCACGGCAGTGGGAGTGAAAAGGAAATGCTGGAGCATGCAATGTTAGAACCTCTTGGTGAAATGTAGACCAGGGAAGGGAAACAACCACAGCCTGTAGCATCAAGTGTAGAAAAATAAGGAAAAACCAATAGTGGCATCAAGACAAAGAGTTATGCATTAATTTGTACTCTTCTCTGTCTTGAATCTTCTAAACCATTTACAGAAGTATTTACAATTTTACATTAAAATACAAATAAACTGAATTTAGCTAAATAGTCCACTAATACTTTTGGGGTTTGTTGTTGTTGTGTGCCTTCAAGCCATTTCTGATTTATGGTGACCCTAAGGCTGAACCTATAATGGGGTTTTCTTGGTAAGATTTGTTCAGAGGAGGTTTGCCATTGCTTTCCCCTGAAGCTGAGAGCATGTGACTTGCCCAAGGTCATGCAGTGGGTTTCATGGCTGAGCAGGAAATCGAACCCTGGCCTCCAGAGTCATAGTCCAACACTCAAACCATGATGCCACACTGGATACTGCCATTTGATAGCTACCTTAAGACCAGCTGATAGTTGCTGTTTATGTTCTTGTTGGAAAGAGGCAATTCAAGTAGCAACCACTGGCTCTTTAGCAAGTCACTCATCTGAGGAAGGAGACTTTAGTCTACAAAAGCTCATACTGCGAACTTCTTTCTTTCAGTTAGTCTCAAAGATGCTACATCATCTCTTTACATAGCATTTATTTATGTATTTGTTTATTTACACATACCATACTTCTGTTTTCATACTGCACTTTGGCCTTAAAAGGAGTCCCGGGTGGTTTGAAACAATTAATATTACACAATAAGGGATTGCACAAAACCAAGCCAAAACAAAATAGATGAAATGAATTCAGTCAGCAATAATAAAACACACTGGATGCTGTGCTTATCCCAAATGCCCCACACATCTTAGCTGTTCACCTAAAAGATAACAAAGAAAAAAGCAAAGGGAGTTCTATAGTTGAGCTGCTGCCACTAAAAGGCCATGGCCTTGCCAGCAACATCTGTCTTGGCAATGGAACTCAGAATACTGAACTGAACCACAGTTAATGGGTGGATTCATGTGGGAGGAGCAGTTCTTCAAATATCCTGATCTTATATTCATGTGGTTGGATGGCATCTTCCTTTGTTCTCCGCATTGTACTGCAATACAATAGTTATCTATTGAATTACCTGAACTTATGGTTTCAATTAAAAAACAACAACAACTTTTGCCATTTATCTTTCTGAGTTGGCTCTCTGTCCCATAAAAGCTTATACCACAACACATTTTAAAAAAAATCTTTAAGGTATTGCATAATAATTTGTTATTCTTCTTCTTCTATGTTCTAAAGGGGGAAAGATTCCATATGCAAAGTGTAAGGAAGTTTAGATTTGCCTTGGTAGATCAAACCAAGGAACATGCAGTCCATTCTTTTCTAAATGAAAAAAAGACCAAAACTTCAGGGAAGCTAGGTGTGTTATTATCCCAGTCTCCTGGTACTCAGAGATATACTACTCTGAATATGTAAGCTCCTTTGAAGTATAATGACTTATGGGCATGTCTTTGGTATCTATCTACCAAGTCTTGAATATTTGTGAAGACTTTGGTATCATTTGTCTATTTTCCATTCCATTTTCCAGTTTGCTTGCATTGTGAATTGGGATGGCCACATGTCCTAAGGGCTAGTTCTAAGATAAAGGCCCATAAATGCAAGGGTCTGGAAATTTTCCTTCAACACTTAGCTCCTTGATGGCATATTGGTCACATGGTCATAGTCATATGCTGTTCCATGTTTCCAGTCGCAACCTCAGCTCAGCCTTTATACTTGCTTTCAAGGAGATCATGAACAAAGATCAAGAAAAAAGTATAACGCCACACAAAGCAGTCTCTTCTATAAGTTCACAAAACCATTCAGAATTTTAGTATTATCTGAAAGGGGAGAGGAGACCTTCATTCCTGTATATGATTTTATAGTGAGTTCAGAATGATTCAGGTTTTATTTCTGTACCTTATGCGGGTAGGAAACAATTAATACTCAAGCTACTTAGCATACATTAAAAGTTATAGTATTCTCAGCTAAATGCTTTTAGCTTTTCAAAAAACAAATCATATTAATTGGGAAAATGCAAAATAAAACTCAAGCTGGGAAGAGAAATTATGTTCAGTAAAGTTTGTGAGAAAAATAAGATGTGTGCTAATAGAACTATTGAAGATTATTCTGGAGCAATGCAAATGCTAAATCTATATCTAGTACGAATCAGTAAAATGATGCTGTAGTCTTCCATGTCTCAGAATCAGAACACAGCTTATAATGACTAATTAAGCTTCGGAGCAATAGGTAAACTTTATTACACCTATTAAATACATCTAAAACAGAGTTATGATGTTTAATTACAGGGAAAGCTTTTTTTTTTTTTTAAAAATGCTTTTCTCTATAAAAATGTTGGATTAGCTACTTCTTTAAAACAAAACTTTATGGAGAGATCAATGGCACCTGAGATTGCTCAAGCAGTTAGGCCACATTATGCAAGGAGCAAACAACATTAAAAGAGTAGTTACAGTGCAACTAACCAAGAGTTAGGGAGTAGTTTGGGTAGCTGCACAGTCTCTTATCACACACAAATACCATCCCTGAGAGTGAATCCGCATAGTACAGAGGATGAGTGGATGAACTGAGGTATTAGAATTCTAGACTCAATAATTTCAGAGTGTATGTAATAAATATTATGGCCCAAATCCTATTGCTATACCTACCTAGAGATTGGTACTGACACATTGGGATTTATGTAAGTATTGACCATTTTGCAATTGTTTCAGTACAACTTTAGTTGGAACCAGCAACTGGATTTATATTCATATGTTAAAAATGCTGCTCTCCTTCCTCAGGCAACATCTGGCTATGCTAAACAGCAACAACTCATTAACTCAAATAAATTTACTTCTGAGTAGAGGCATGCAGGATTGCACTATGAAACAGCTGTGGTTCCTCACACTTGCTAAGTCTTAAGATTGTTTTAAGACTGAGCGATTGGGGGTTCTTTGCAGTTTGCCAGCTAATCTGTTGGGAGGTTCTTCTGGTCACCATGTGGTTACCTGGGCTCCCAACTCTTAAACAACAGGCAGACAGACAGGCAGAGTTAGCATCAGCACTCCACTTAAGCATTCTTAAGTCTTGGAATCTCAGGATTATTAGCATGAGAGAATGAGCTGGCTTTTAATGCTCTTTTAGGGGGGAAGCAGACTGGTGGCATGGGGCTGCCCTGGGAAGGTGCGCCGCTGGATC